AGGGGCGGGCTGGGGCTGCCCGGCCTTCGGGAGAGCAGAAACCTTCCCTGCACCGCTCGCTCTCCGAGAGGTGCGCTCTCCTCCCTCCCTCCCTCCCGGGGTCGCACGGATTTCCATTTCGCGGCCCAGAACAACGCAGCGGAGCTCGCTCGCGGGGAGCTGATGCCCCGCTTGAGCCCAGCTCTCTCTCCTCACCTGGTTCAGATATTATTTCTGCTCCCTTATTGTTGAAAAAATAATGCTCAAAATTAAAATGTAGGCTGTAAATTATAGTAATTACCCAGCAGTTCCCCCTGACAGGCCTTTTGTGTTTCATGTGCTGACACTCGCTAAGCAAATCCTAGCGGTTTTCTCCTACATAGACAAGAAACGTTCAGCCAACTGTGGCAGAAAGCGCAGCGTCGGGAGGAGGGACTGCGGGAAGCCGGGCAGCGATGGCGAACAGGCTTTATCCCGGGGGACGGCATTCAAAGTGTGCTGGGAAACACCTTGGCCAGGGAGCCAAGAAAGCCCCAAACCCATCCACGAGCGCTCGGCTGACTCAGCCGCTATAGCATGGGCGTCAGTCCCGGCCCGGAGCCAAACTCTGCAGCCGACCTGTATCAACAAAGGGGCAAAACCCAGCATCCAGACCCACAGCCAAAAAGGCCAAAGCAAGGAAGCTGCATTAGCAGGATGCCTGGGAAAGGATCACGTCCGACCACAGCCTATTCCGGGGCAAACGTGGCCGATCCACGCCTCGGATGCTGCTCTGCTCCTGCAGCACCAATCCGCCCCATCCGCCTGTGCCTCACCGCATCACCTACAGCCTCTCCGCAGCCATGAAGCTCAACACAAGCTTCAGGGCAAACGTGTGGCTTCCTCCGAGTGAGCAGACGCCCGCACCGTGCGCATACCCGCAGGCTGGGCACAGTCCTGGCGGGGGGACCCCCACGGCACCTCCCATCCCACTGCCAAACTGACAGGGCCAGGCAGAGGGACAACACACAGCAGACGGCACGGGCTGCAAACCAGCTTCTCCAGCCCACACTTAATCACCACCAGCAGGTTTTTACAGCAGTAAATATTTCAGGCTGAAGAGGGGAAGGCTTTGGGAGGAGCACAAGGGAGATGAAGGGAGGAACCCACGGAGCAGGGGCTGAATCCAGGCTTCCCAAGGAGACAGTATCTCCTACCATGCACCAGGCTGCAGCCAACTCCTTTTAAGAGCAAAGGCTGTCCTGCCAGGAAGAAGCGATGGAGGAAGAATGTGAAGACCCACACAGATAAACCTCCCCCCGCTGCCCAGCCAGCTGCTAGTTCAAAATAACAGTGCAAAACCAAATTAGGGTTGGAAGGGCTTGTGCGTGTGTTTACACACCCGTTCAAGCTCTGAAATGATCTTGTGCAGTGAGACGCCATGCTAAAATGCAGCTACATTCAAAAGGCACTGGGAGATAGCTGGTTTCTGCCGCGGGCTTTGGCGTCTATCGTTTGGTAGTGTGTTAAGCTGAAGAAATCAACATTAAACAAAAAAACAGCAGTTGTTTTTGTTCCATGGACAAAATGAGACTGGGAAAAAAAATAGTTGGGTCAACCCGAAATTTATCTTACATTCTAAGCTGATTTTTGGCAGAATTGAAAATCAGCCCTCAAAAGAATACCTTCTGCATCCAAGAAAATATTTTACATTCATCAAAAATGAACTATTTAGAGGTGTTCATGGCTTATTTAACTCTTTGACATCGGCTTTTTACATGCTGAAATAAACATCAAAACGCTTCATGCGAGCAGCACGCGCGCTCCCGACCCGCCAGCCCCTCTCGGTCCTCTCCGTGCCAGAACCAGTCATTGCATTTGACACGATTTCACAAAGAGTTTCACCCCCTTCCAAAAACACTATTTTCAGTGGTTGTCTGTTTATTACGATTGAAAGCAAATAAATGCTATCTCCTTTGCCAGCCCTGCATGCTCAGGAGCTGCAAAACCCCGAGGGATCGCTTGCGTCCTTGCGTACCACCACCTTCCGCGAGGACCCCTGGCCCAGTGGTGCTGGGCTGCCTGTACTAGACCCCTTTTCTCTCACCCCGTTATACCAACCCCATCCGGTGCCTTCAGAGTGGACAACATGCAGAACAGCCCTCCCCAGCTACTTCAGTCCCGGCCTCGCAGAGGAAAGGCGAGAAGAGCCGGACTTTGCTTCTTCCTCTGAAGTGAGCGGAGCAAAGCGCGGGAGGAACTCAGGTGAGTAAGAAACTGCCATTTTCATGTGGCCTCTTTTCAAAGTACAAAACCACTCGTTAGACTCGGGGAGGGGAAAACCCAGCGCCGTGACGAGAACAGATACTAGACTTTAAAGAGTAACGAAGGCCATGCAGAAAACTCCTGGTTCATCAAGTTCAGCTCCCCTGCTATCGCAGGCAGCCCTGCAATATAATCTCGCTCAGGCATGTATCACTCTCCACTTTGAAACCAGATAGACGGGCCGGGGGCAATAAACCTCCCGGGCTGTTCCAGATCGGCACTCGCCCGTGGCGTGGGAACACCACGCTCCCTCCCAACCTACCTTTAACTCCTGGCTGTTGGGCTCGTGCCAGCAGGTTCCCCCAAAGGCAGTAGCTGGCTAAACATTGCCTTTTTTGGAGCAGTGCCTTGTCCTGCCGCGAAGCCTCTGCAACCTGCCCCAGCGGCAAAGGCAGGCAGAGCAGCGGGCGCTGCTGCTCGGCTCGGGGCCTCCCAAAAAAGGAAAGAGACGGGGTAAATCGCAGAGCAACTCCACTTAATCAAAACCTCCTGCTTTTAACTTGTAATCACAGTCACAGAGAAAGGAGACAATACCAGAAAAACATGCTACCCTGTAATTATACCAATCTCGGCACATTTTGACAGGCTAGTGAATCAAAGTTTATTGCATAATAAAAGTGTCATTAAGCAAGAACTTTCCTCTCGCTGGGTTTTCGTTCCCCTAGTTAACTTTAATAACACGGTACTCCCCTTTACTGTCTCTCCCTATAGACACAGTCCTGCCTTCTCTGACTTGGAACCTCTCCGTGCAGCTCTGCTAGTCGAGAGCCGTTGAACACACTTTTACAGACCACGGCTTGGGGAGGCTGTTTGACTTTGGCATCTCACTGTCCCAGGGCCTGTTTTCTCTTGTAACGTGCCTCTGTCTGACTCTTATATATAGGAGCAGAAAAGACACGGGGTTACATGCAACCCTACACAGCTCGCTAAGGGATCGGACTGGCACCAGTACTGGGGAAGAGGCAGAAGAGCGTGGCCGGGGCAGCCGGGTGGCTATCACTGGCTCGGTGAGCCTGAACCACCAAACCAGCCCCGAGCTCCCGGCGGCAAGGGCGGGCGAGCACCCGATCTGCCCCGGCACCGCGCCAGCCGCGAGCTCTGACCCCCTCCGCCTGTCTCCCAGGTTATCTTCCCTGTTTCAGAGCGCTGCAGGGTGGAAACACCCCCAGGGTGCCAGCCCCTGGAAATGCCAAGAGCCAATTCTAAGCATTAATCTGGCTACTTCCTGGCAAAAAGGGGAATTTGGCTTCTCTGCTGAAGTCCGGTATAGAAATCTCAGTTTCCCAGGTTGTAATAGACTGGGAAACATTACTTCAGCAACCCAGCTTTGCACAGGCAAACCTCCCGGCCCCCCGGCTGGAGTAACAGTCTCGGCTCAGCTTATGCAGGAGCAAGAACCGCTACGTGCTCCCACACTTCATCTTCCACGCACCCTTTGGCGGCTGCATTTAAGACTCCTCAAGTGCACCTCCAGCATACAGCATAAAATGGCAAGAGGCACTTTTTACAACCAGATGTGATCTCCAAAACAAAGCAGTGCTCAGAAAAGATCCCTCCAACAGCATTCCCCTGCTCAGCACCTGCTCACCCCATTACCTGGCTCCAGGCCAGTTTGCTTGATTAAAGTCTATCTATCTATTAAGTTTTGCATCTAAAGAGAGCTACGCTCAGCAATGCACGAGATTGGCACTAGGCTGAAAAGAGGGTTGGAACAGCTTAAAGGGGAGTGAGCCAAACACTTTGGGATATTCACAGGCAAAGTAATCCAAGTCCACAACTCCCATCGGCACCTGGGAAGCCAGAGCTCCAGAACATATAATCAACATCCCTGCAGCAGGTGCATTTTCCAAACAGAGCTGAAGCCACTAACATGCCTGTTTGCAGTTGCCATCCCCAAACGGCACTCATTTCCATTTTAATTTCACATTTACAATCCTCACCAGGCCATGAGAATAAGGAGCAATCCAAGCAGGATGCACGGGCTGGGGATGTGAACTCGACAGCAGATCAACAGGACGTGACTTTGGAAAAAATTAAAGCCGTAAAAGAGTTGGCACCGGAGCCGCACGAAGGAGGGGGAAGTGGCAAGAAGGGCTGTGCTACACTCAGCACTTTTTAAAAACGGTCTCAGCAAAGGTCTCTGAATCAGCTCCAGGATGTAAAGTCACCCCGCTCCTGCCCGCAGCCCCGGGCCTTCGTGCGCTCGCCAACACACGGTCTGAGGGCGGATTCGGCGCAGCGCTGGCGCAGTAGTGGCAATACTCGCCCACGCAAGGGGACGACTGGAAAGCCACAGCTGCCCCCGCACCGGAGAGCGCCAGGGTTTACCAGCCTCTCCCCACAAAACGCTGGGGCAAGAGCTATTAATGCAGGCACCTGCTCTCAGCTGGTTTGAAACAGGTCATGCAGATAGTACGAACCTTCACAAAGCGGCACAAACCTCACGCTGTATACACCAGAAGCTGCAAAAGCAACTCGTGAGGTGTCTGCCCCATTTTCCACATCGAGCTCTGCCCTCGGGGAGCACAGCGCAGGCTGCAGCCGCAGCACCCACGAGCTCAGACAGCGTCCGTGGTGCCGGCACAACTCCCAGGGCCGGGAGAGACCAAGCGAGCCTCACGCCACCCCCGCCCCTGCGCCAGCTCCCGCAGTCCAACGCCGCCCGTCCCCGGCTGGGTCCGGCAGAAGCCAATGGGAGAAGCAAAGAAGCAGCTCACCTTTTTTAGCCGTCTCCATTTCTTCTTCTGTCCAGCGTGAGCTTTCGTTCATCTCCAGAGAAGCTGGGAGGGAGGGAAGGGAGGAGAGAAGTCAGTTGTGCGAGGGACGGAAAGCAGCTGAAGCGCTGCGGGGTCAGAGACGCGCAGGAGAAGGCAGGACCCAACCCCAGCCAGTCCTGTAAGGACACCCCGTCTCAGGCCCTGTCCCCTCGTGCACAACACAACGGCCCACGGGGCAAAAGGGCTTCTCCAGGGAAAGGCTCTTATAGCAAGGACTCTCAGTGCTTTCACACTACAATAACCCGCGTAGCCTCTGCTTTGGTTTCTTTGGGTCTGGCAGCGAAGCCAGATGGCTCGAGGGAGGCAGCACATTTTGCGCTCTGGCCCACGGACCACCGGTACCGAACAGGGAGGCAACGGCAGCTGCGTGCTTTGGAGGGGGCAGGTGCCAGGTGGGACCGTCCCGCTGGGGAGAGACGGGGTCCCCACGATGCTAAGGTTTTGGCCTGCCACCCGCACCCGTCAAGGAAGTTAGCCTTGCTGACATTGAGCCCCCTTGGAAAGCGGGTGCTGTCACTGGGCGCTCGGACGTTTCAGGCTCAGGAGTGACCGGGACGTGGCCGATCCACGAGCCGAGCAGGGCCCCAGAGCAACGCCGCTCGGAGAGGAAGAGATGGGCGTCAGCACCTAACGTTCCCTGCTCTCCTCCACCCTGCGCCCAATGCTGGGGACATCGAGGTCCTGCATAAAGCGGTCGCTATGCAATAATCCTGCTGGCAGTCTGGCACTTGTGAGCAAACCCTACAATAACAAACCAGGGTGTGAGTCAGAGGCAAAAAACAACTCGGTAAGGAAACAGATTTCCGGTTCAGGCTGCCAACGGGTTATTACTCTAAACAACAGGCAAAGCATTATTTCAACAGTGAGGAGAGATGTTTTGACAGTGTCCTTTTAAAATGGAAAACAGGCTGATAGGTTAGGCTAAAGGATGCAGATGAGGAGAGAAGGAAGCATCCTCCAAGAAGCTTTAGGAGAAGCTGAGACCCCGCAGGAGAACAAATCTAGCTCTGAAGCCCGTGACCTGTTAGGTACTTGGGAGGCAGATAAGGAATCTCCTTCACAGCTGGCTGAGCAGAACTGCAGGTGTCACCTCTTGTAAGTCAGCACAGGTCACTTCCTCCATCAGAAATACAGTCCCCTGGGAACCCGGCCAATACGCGGCTGCTCAGCTAGCACAGGGAAATCGATACCTCAGGACCTCCCCCAGCCTTGGGCAGCTTCAGGGATTTGGCGTTTTTTTTTACTTAAAACAAAGTATCCCAAACACGCTTCACAAGGCCCTTAATTCAGCTTTAAGATAGTGTTATTGTATGGTAAAGAAATGTCAAAGAAATGGCCTATTTGGTTTGATTAATGATATTTACTGAGGTTGCGCAGTTATGTAACAGATGCCTACTGGGAGTTCCAGCATGCTGCAGTTAAACCACAATATGGTTTTGTGTTGTTTTTTAATGTTCAATTGGTATTTAAAATGCAATAACTTTCCTAGCCAACCTAAATTAAAGCACTATTGGAGAGACATAAAGTGTAACCAATTGCTTAGATATGTCACTGGAATCAATCCATTTCCTTTTCCCAATTTAATACTGTCAAAAGTCTTTTCTCCCTGCTCACAGTGAAGTTTATCAACGTCCCTAAGACACTGGGATAAAACAGAAAATCCTATCCAAGTTCCTCGCATTATCTGCTGCTTCTACGCAGCGTTGCTTAACAAGTTTGAGACGGAGATCAGGGCTCCGTTGTGCTGGGAACTATTTATATCGTTTGTATGAAACGGAGCACTCGCAATCAAAGCTTCAGCGCCTTGTCGGCAGAGGAACGGAGAGGCAAAAACACCTCGATGTGGTTTAGAGCAAATGGAATAGAATAAGCAAGAAATTGCAGCGAAGGGAAGCGAGAGGAGTCACCCTTCTTGTATTTGTACTCGCCTTAGGTAGGGCAGTAATAATTTTGTACTCGATACAGGCAAAATACAGGAAAATCGGCCAAATTCCTTGATGCGTTTGCTTCTCTAAGTCAATACATGAACAGTTTCCAAGGGCAACCACTACCAGTGCTGCATATGCAAGAGGCAGATGCACGCGGCGCAGGTCGGCCAACGCCGCCGGGAATGCCTGCACGCTGCCCGGCGCCCCCGGGCCAGACGTCGCTGCATTCGCACAACTGCTGCTGACCGCCGCTCTCGGCCGAGGGCTGGCGCCGGCCTCCCGCTCTCCCTCTGAAGCCGCCCCCGGCCTATTCCCACCGCCCTCAGCCTCCCCGCAGCCCGGCTGCCTGCTGTGGTTTGGGAGCAGGGAGACGAGCAGGGGTGGCGGGGAGCAACACGGGAAACGCTGCTGTTTGCCCAAAACCGATCAGCTAGGCAGTGCAGCACAAACTGCAGCTGGGGCTCCAGGGGCAAACGTGGCCCGGGGTAGTGCTGCCTCCTCGACACCTCCCTCGACGTGCACAGGTGAGCAAGGGAACAGCCTGATTCCCACGCTGCAACTGCCCTGCACGCAGGCAAGACTGAAAACAGAGAGGGCCAGAGAACGGGCAAAGCCCCAGGCACCCCAGCTGCAGGACAGAGGGTGCTCGAGGCCTGAGCCCCTGCACAGAGACGCCACTTCCAGGCGCAGGAGCGAGGGAGGGCTTGCCGGCAGCACGAGCCCTGCATGGGCCCCACCTAACGCTCTGCTAAAATAGGTGTCTTTCCTTTCCGTCCTCTGCAATGCTTTCTCTCTGAGGCCCTAAAACACATTAACACTCAGCTGGGAAAGTCCAGGCTCACAAACGCCTCTGGTTCGTCTGGCTGCATCGCACGGGGCAACTAACGGGTTAGAGAAACCTTACCACTGCCTCCCTGGAAAGGGGGCATTTCTCAGGCCGGGCGGCGGAGGAGGAAAACCCTCACTCGTGAGTTGGGGACAGGGAGGGGAGCAGGGCGACAGGTCGTCCCAGCCCCCGCCAGCGGAGCAGGCA